CTGATCCAGCTTCTGGCTCTTCGCCAGAGAACAGCAGCCAGCGATGGCCCGAGTGCTTGGGTCCTCGCTGCCCACAGGGGAGACTCTGATAAAGGCCATGGCTCTGCTCTTTGGTTTGGCCCAGTCTGGGCCCTTACAGCCATCTGGGGAGTGAACCAGTGAACGGAAGTTCTCTCTTGCTCACACTCTCTCCCCCTGAACTCTGACTTACAAACAAATAAGTCTTTAAAAAAATGGAGAAACCAGAATTATTCTGGCAGTGTTTTTGAATGTGGACCATGGCGAGTTCCCTGCCTTTCCTTGTCTTGCAGTATGTTGGGTTTTGTTGTGGAGGGTCAGACCCATGCCTTGGAGCTCCTGACACGGACCAGGGAGGAAGCATGGTCACGCAGGGTGGTCATTCTCACCCGTTTTCCTCTGTGGGGAAGCAGGGATAGATCGGACAAGAGCTCTGTAATTTACGGGTTTCCTCTTGTCAGCCGAGACGGGGTGACACGTAAATGTCCAGAGTAATTTCATGGAATGAGAAGTGTTGTCAAAACAGGGTGAAGTGGGGGCAAAACATTTTTTGACACACAAGAGCCACCCACAATCAGAGGGTTTTTTCCCCCCACAAAATGATTGGATCAGTGGATGTGTGCAGCCAACGGGAGGACATGGTGGAGAGCCAGGTAATGTTGCTGAGCAGAGTACGTGTCATTGCTCATGCCAAGCCGACTTCAAGTTCAATGTAAGATAAAGTTTGTTTAAACTGGCAGAAGTTTTGAAATGTTTTCACCGCTCTCTTATTCTTACTTGCTAGAAAGAATTAATTTAGGGATTAGCAACAGATTTATCCGGACACAGAAAAGAAGTTGAAGAGAGTGAAACAGGAGGTGGCCAAGCTTTCTCATAAAGGGACGGTTCCTGGTTGCTTTAGATTCTGCCAGCCACTTCCTGCTCCTGCCATCCGGCTCCAAAGCAGATGGGACAGTGTGTGCACGTGTGGGTGTGGCTCATTCAAAGGGTGCTGAGATTTGCATTTCATTTAGTTTTTATATGCCTGAAAATATTATTCTGATTTTCTTTCACCCTTAAAATAATGTAAAGACCTTTTCCATGCTGGGGCTGGCACTGGGATTGCGAAGCCTGAGCCTCTGACTGCGATGCCTGTATCCCTTCTGGGCACTGCTTTGAGTCCTGGCTGCTTGACTTCTAGTCCAGCTTCCTGCTGCTGGCCTGGGAAAACAGTGGAAGATGAGCAGGTGCTCGCCCTGCCACCCACTTGGGAGACCTGGGTGAAGTCTGGCCGCCTCCTGAGTGTTTCAGCCATTTGGGGTGTGAACCAGTGAATCCATGAAGATTGAGCGCTCTGTCTCTTTCCCCCTTGCTTGTTGGCCCTGCCTTTCCAATAAATAAGTGTGTCAAAATATTCTTTAAGGAAAAGCGTTCCTGTGCCACTAGGGCTCCAGCGTGCCTGGGGAGTGCCAGCCCCACAGAGTGGCACGGTGTCAGAAGGGTGCAGTCTCTGGATGCTCAGAGAAAGCATGGGCACACAGGATGCTTAGCAGGTGCAGTGGGCAGACAGAGCTGATTTCTGGAGAAAGGCTAGAAGTGCGAAGGTGGTGGTGCTGAGGCTTGGCTGCCTGGAGGCCCTCTGCAGCGCTGCTGAGATTGGGGGTTGCAGGCTGCTAACTAAGATTAGGATTTTCCACTGGAAGGATGTAGGAGCTGGCATCTCTGAGCGGTCCAGTTCCAGGTTTCATCTTCTGTTTTATCCTGAGAAGAAAATCTTCAGGTTACTGTCCACTTTGGTTGGTAACAGTTGTTTTTTTGTGAGAAAATGAACTATAGCCACTGATAAAATTGCTTTTTTTGGGAAATTTAAAGTTTTTTCCTGAAACTTGGATTGAGTGGCTAGTTGGATTTGGCCAGCCTGTATCCTGGAGCTTTGAACCACACGGGGCACTAGCAGGTTCCGGTTCATTTCTGAGGAGTTAATGGTCCTGGTTTTAGCTTGACGTAGGTGACCCTAGGGGTGCAGTGTGTGTGTGTCAGTTATGGCTAGTGCCTCACCAGGTGCCAGAGCATGCCTGCTCCTCTCCCTGGCCTTGAGAGAGAACAACAGAGCAGGCAGGCATACTTTAGACACAACAAACCTAGCAGTGTCAGGACAGTTTGTGTTACGTGAGCAGACATGTTCAGTCTGTAAGTGCCTGCCTGGATCAACCGAGGAGTACCGAGAGCTTCCCGTCTCCACGGCCTTCCCGTCGGCCTTCCTGTCGGCCTTCCCGTTGAACCTGCCGTCCCAGGAGCCCGTGTGCGTGTCTGGTCTGTCTGGTCCTTACCTCTCACAGACAGTGTGATGAATGATTTTTGTTCTGTGTGTTATAAAAACATATAACATGATAGAATTTGCACTCCACATTTGTGGAAGGTGGAATTATTAAATGCATCATTGTGTTTTGGTGCAAAAAGTTTTTTCCCGTGAAGTCCTTGAAGTGGGCAAGAGAAATTATTGGAATAAGTGTTGTAGGTCCAAATTTTGAGTGGCAGCTTCTCTCTGATGCTACACTTGTTCGCATTTTGCTGCGTATGGTGTCTTGTTTGAGTTGTAACTGGCACTCCTCCTCCGGGTTCTTTCATACGATGATCTGATGCTGTTTACACTTACTGAGCTGTTTCAGGGTCTTACCAGTTTCTCCGCTGAGAATTTCCTTCCTTAACTTCTTAAAACAATATTTTATGTTTAGGCTAGCAGTTTGCTGCTTCTGATAGGAATTATGTGTTCTTCTCATTTTTAAAACAGTGCTTATGGATTTGAAATAGAGTATTTGAAATGTATTGTCTTCAAGTGGCAGGCTTCTTGGCTCCATTCTGGAACATTCTTAGCTATTATAGCTTGGGAATCTGTTTTCTAGTTTTCTTTCTTTTCTCGAGCCTCATCTCCGCTTTCATCTTTGCATGGCCTCCTCTCTGCTGTACTTCTTTTGAGGGTGCATGTCACCAACTGCCATATGCTGTGTCCCCTGGAAGGCCCACTCAGCCGTCGTTGTGTCTGTCAGCAGCCCTTTTCAGGGCACTGTGACATGCACCGAGGATGGTCCAGTCACCGTACAGCTTCCGGGAGCCAGGTCTCTGAATCCTCCCCAGCCTTACAACCTCTTGCCCTAACGCTGCTTGATTGTCTCATTTTGCCAAACAGTTGCTGCAAGAATTATAATCCTCAGATTCAATACTCCTGCAGCATGTCTTAAAATTCATCTCCGAAGAAGCAGGATTGTGTGCGTTCTGCTGGCGAGGGTGTGTGCGGGTGCTGCGGTAGCAGCTTTCAATGATTTATTTCATTCGGGACTTAAACCAGAAGTAGCAGGGGGTTTCTAATGTTCAATTTTTATTTCTGTTGTACAAACTCTTGCTTTTTTAAAAAAAAAAAAAAACAAAACTTCATTAAGTCTTACTCCTTTTTCCCCTTCTGGGGTGATGTGCTGCGGGGGCTTGGGTACCGTGTTAAATGGAAGCTGTGGACGTCACGTTGTTCCTTGTTGTGTTTAAATTTGAGAGACGTGAGCCCAGAACAGCCTTCCTGAACGCTGTCTATAGATCATGTGGTGTTAACATCATTAGTATAGAACAGAAATGGGTACATACACACTTTATGGCCTTGGTCAAGCTTTATATTTTTCATTTATTCATTTCCTAGGAAGTCTGAAATTTCCAAGATGTCAGCAAAAATATTGATTATGAGTGGGTCTTAGGTTTATAACGATGCATGATATTATGTATTTGCTATTTCACAGTCTCGTTTCAAAATTGAGCATAAAAGCTGTCTCCAGAGTAGATTTATTTCTCCTGATCCTGTTTGCTTGCCCAGAATCCCTAAACACATCGTGTAATGTGTAGAGTGAATATATTATCTTGAGGTCGTAAACTATATTTTTAAGGTTACGGTTACAACTTTTTAAGTGTGATGAAATGTCTTGGTTTTTACTCTTCTCAATAAAATCTATCATTTATTGTACCGCAGCCGTTCTGACGTGTAAAATGGCAGTGCTGCTTCTTCTGAGGCATTGGGAACTGCGTGGGTGTAACCCGGCCACCCCTGGGCTGTGTTCCACGGGTGCTTTCCTAATCTGGCTTTCATTCTTCACCCAGAAATGGGGCTGGGGACACAGATGTGCTGTGTTCTTTTGCTGCCTCACTTTGGGCTTAAATAAGTTCTCATCATGAAATTCTTAGTAGTGTGGCTTATGAGGGCAGGGGCAAATGCAGAAAATTAAGTGAAGCTCTCAGGGTTCCTGGTAATCATTGTAGTCTGAAAAAGTAGTCTTTTTGTTAACTCACAAGTGAAGCCAAACTCTGTCTAGGATAGTGATGAGTTTATGGAGTTGTTTTATTTAGTCGTGGTGGGGTCTAATATGCAGTGGTTCAGGCCAGGGTCCCTAATGACCACTGGTTCGACTCCCTGCTCTTTCATGTCTGATCCAGCTCCCTGCTAAGGTGCTTGGAAAAGCATCGCAAGGTGGCCCGAGTGACTGGGTTCCGGCCCCCCACATGGGAGACCTGCATTGTTGTCCAGGCTCCTAGACTCAGCCTGGCCCTGCCCCAACCATTGAGTCTATTTGAGGAGTGAATCAGTGGATGGGACCCACTCTCTTTGTGACTCTGTGTTTGAAACGAAATAAATCTTAAATATACCAGTTACCTAGAGTGATGATGTGTGAGCTTGTCGGTAGTGTCTTTTTCCTTACAATGTACTCAGAGCTATTTACTGCTGATATTTTGTCTTAGGTTTTAAGTGTTACAGGTGTGATGTGAGATCTGACAATGTGCCTGAATAAGTTATTTTTGGTGACTTCTCAAAGAAAGGGAATGAAGCTATCGTCTCAACCATATCACAAATTATGGCCAGTAAAGTTTCTTTTTTTTAGACTCCTCATAGATTTAAGTGTAACAAGCTAAGTGACTTTGTTGAAGCTGTATAGAACTGACCTGTTCTCTCCTGTCATTTTCTTTTTTAGGATTCTGAGTAACAATAAAATATCCGAGTTGAAGAATGGCTCATTTTCTGGGTTAAGTCTCCTAGAAAGATTGTGAGTATTCTTTCATTATCCTCTCTTAATGAAAATTGCATTTTTCTAGCATTTGATTAGTAAAAAAATTGCAGTAAAATTTTTAGAAATAGGTCATTAGAGCACAAATAATGGCCAGATTTGAGATAATTTAGGCTTGGTGGGCATATTATCCTTAGGTAGAGACCGTGCCATGCCAAGCCGATGCCTTCATGCCCTGTCATGGTGTCCTGGTGTGAGTTCTGGCTCCCCTTGTGCCCCCAGCTTCCTGTTCATGTGCTTTCTGGGAGGCAACGAGGTGCTGGCCTGTTGAATGGTCCCTGTCACCCACATAGGAGACCTGCCTGGGGCACTCAGTGCAGAGCCCAGCTCTGACTCATGTGGACATTTGGGGAGTGAACCAGCAGACAGGAGCTCTTTCTGTCTCTCTGCCTTTCAAATCAACAAAATTTATTATGATGTAAAAATTTCGAAATCCATGCAAAACTTTTTGTTAGTGCACATTTTCCCACAGAGTTTTTGGACTCCCTTGGTTCTGCGAAAGGCAGTACTTATATATAATGAATGAATCCGTGAACAGGTTATCCAATAAACTTCCTTCACAATGCGGACTTTGGGCCATGGTTTGCCAAACACTTAGCTAAAGCACAGATGCTGCTTCAAACAGTCTGTATCGTGAAATGTGCCTTATTAAAGCCACATAGAACTTTAGAAACATGACAAACAGCAAACCTCTTGTTAAGCTTTGTTCCATTCAGCTTGTCTGTGACATGTGTACAGTTAGAAGGTAGTGTAGCTTTGCTTGCAGACTAGTGTGTCCCACGGACCAGCTGTGCTTTGCTTTGAAAAATTTGAGGCAGTATTCTAAGTGCTCTTCCAGGATTATGGTTCAAATTTCCTCGTTCCTCATGCATATAGGATAAAAGTTCAGAATCCGTAGGGATACCACACTGAATATTTTTCTGGAAAGTTTTCTTTTTCCTCTTTGCTTTACTGCTTTTCCCGACCTTCCTCCGTGTTTTTTCCTTGGCCACTTCCTGTGCAGGCTCCTTCTGCAGCTAATGCCCCTCACCCTGCCTGCTTAGCACTGATTGTCATGGAAGCACATACTCTCTAGCCCTCTTCAGCCTTTTCCACATGCCCTGCTTGTTTTCATTTAGACCAGGTGGCTTTAGGTGGAATTACATACAAGTGTCTGTGCGGATACACAGCTGTCATCCTTATTAACAGGTGGATATATGTACTTGGTATACATACTTAGCAAACACAAGCGCATAGATAACTATGTAGAAGTGTGTTAGGGGGCCAGTGCAATGGCTTAACCTAATAATCCTTCATTACGAACCTCTGGCGTTCCCATAGGGGTGCTGGTCCCTGTGCTGGCTGCTGTACTTTTCCCTGCTTGTGGCCTGGGAAAGCAGTGGGGGTTTATCAGGTTCTTGGGAAATTGCACCTGGATGGGAGACCTGGGAGAAGCTTCTGGCTTTTGGCTTCAGATTGGCTCAGCTTGGGTCATTGTGGCCATATGGGGAGAGAACCAGCTGATAGAAGATCTTTCTCCCTCTTTCTCCTTCTCTGTAAATGTGCCATTCCAATGAAAATAAATACTTTTTTTCCCCCCCCCAAAAAGCAGTGCTTTTGGCACACCTGTATTAAATGTTGCATTACTTTGCTTTTCTTTCCATTCATGTATCCTTGTCTTATCCCACCCTATCTGTACGCGTCAGAGGATGCTGACTACAGCCTCAGATCCAGGCCCAACAACTTGGTACATGTTCCATGGGCGCTTAGCCAGGAGTGGCCATTTGACTTGGTATGATTGAGTCCAGATGCTCCTGGGACTTTAGGAAAAAGAATCTCCTGAATGTCCCTGGGAAGAGGGTTGTGCCTCTGACAGAGAAGGCTTCTTGCCACCAGCTGGGGCCAGAGCCCACTCCGAAGGCACAGGGGCTGCCCAGGAGGATGTAGCCTGATTGCCCCGAGGCTGTTGGGGTTGTGTGCCATTTTCTGTAGCACATTGGCATGCACTTGGCAGCTACTTGGTTAATCATTGGAGAAATCAGCCTGGTCTTCTCTTTCTACAAGGAACAGTGGCAGTACTTCTGGGTTGTCATTGGAACCTGGTGCGTTTGGGAACATTTTGCTTTTGGTCGCCAGGCTTGTTGTTATGCATGTAAACCACACAAAGTATAGGTTGTAAGGCTTGGTGTGAGTTTCTACCCTTCTTAATTTGTTTTTACATTTTGTTCATCTTTGACCTTATTTTTCAGCCATTTGTTGATGATAATCTGTTTACATGGTAGAAACAAATTGGGTTGTGGGAATTCTACCCAAGAGCATCATCCACCAGTCAGTCCCAGTGTTGGCAATTGAAACTTGGCTAGTTAGTGGCTCCTGGAAATGAGCACATGGCAACTGAGCAGCTTGGAAATGGGATGGCACAGTCTAGGGTGCTTGCTCACCCCGAGGTCAGTGCTTTACAGCTGTGTCCTTGACAGCAGAGCATAGCGAGGGCGGGGCAGGCAAGTGGGGAGGACAGGAGGAGCTGGTTGGATTGAACTGCAGATGTGTCTCGGACAGTGAGGAAGTCTGCAGAGCATGGCATTGTTGGCATTTATTTTAGAGGCAGAGAGAGAGAACAAGAGAGAGAACTCCTTTGTCCTGGATTAGTTCTCAATACCTGCAGCAGTAGCTGGGAGTCTGAAGTTAGGGACCAGGAACTCAGTGCAGGCATCTCCTACGGGTGAGAGAGAACACAGCTACTTGAGCCTTCCCTCCTCATTGCTGTCCAGTGTCCGCATTGGGGGAAGCTGGAGTCAGCAGTAGGGCTGCAACTCGAGCCCAGTCAGTGATGTGGGGTGAGGGCGTGTTCACCAGAGCCAAACACCTGCTCCTCCTCGCCCGCACTCTGCAGTTCATTGGGATGAAGAAACTTTGTAGGAGGGTCCTTTTCCTTTTTTCCCTTCCTCCACTCCTCTTCGTTCCCCTACTGTCTGCTCTATTAATTGTTGCATATAATAATAAAATACCACCTGAGGCACACTCCCACAAACTGTCTAGAAACCTTTTTCTTTAGATTTTATTTTTATAAGAGTTTTTGCACATTTTCTTTAATTTAGGAGCTTGGATTTGGGGTTGTTAGCTTTCGGATAAACTGCTTAAACCCCGTGGCACCCTGGAAATGAGCTCCCTACATGTGGTTCACGTTTCTACTGATTGGTTTCTTTGAAAGTTTTTACAGTGCATAACAGATGTGGATTTATTGTATCATGTTAATTAAAGCAATAAAAAGGTAATTGGCTTAATTTCAAAACTTGGCACAAATATTGTCTCAGTTATTAATATGTCTTACCTTATAGCTAATTAAAAATTTTTTAAGCTTATTTATTTGAGAGGCAGACAATGAGAGGAGAGAGAAAGAGATAGAGAAAAGACTTGTGTTCACTGATTGACTTCTGAATGCCTTTAACAGGAAAGGTCAGGGCTGGTCTGACCCTGCATCCTGGGGCTGGGAACTCAGGTCCAGCTTGCTCACGGGAGTGGCAGGGACCCAGGAGCTTCTGCCATCAATCTTGTTTCCCAGAGTTTCAGTTCCCAGGAAGCCAGAATCAGGAGCCTGTGCCAAACACAGATACTCTGATATCAGACATGGGCAAACGAATCATTGCCTTAACTGCTGGCCCACGAGCCTGTTTGCCACAATTTCATGCCCACAATATTCTGGTCTGAGATTAGTTGATAGCTGATGGCATACGTGATGATGAGCACACAGTAAGCAGGTTGATAACACGTTTGAAGTACTATGGATACAGAAGCTATATAACAGGATATGAATATTGAGTGTGCCAGTACTTGACAAAATGAAAAAAAAGCCAACATTTAAACACGAAAGCACAAGAGATGCAGCATAAGGTGAAAACTTATGGGCTACCATGTCAGGTAGAAGATAATTTAAAACTTAACAATGTTTAGAGACCAGTGCCCTTGTCTGGACCAGAGGTTGCTGGAATCTGTGTGGGTCGGAATGGCCTGGGGCCTATGAAAGCCCAGGCTGCGGACTTTCCCATGGATGCTGAGCTTGGAATATGTGGCTTCATTTGCCCCATTTTATTTGCAAGAGATAGATCTTGCATCTGCTGGTTCACTCCCTATATGCCTGCAACAGCTCAGGCTGGAAGGGAACTAGCCACTCCCTCCATCCAGATCTCCCCAGTAAGAACTTGACAACATTGCGTCTTCCTCCTTGTATGGTTACAGGAGGCTGGACTTGCATGTGGAGCCAGGGTTTGGACCAAAACTCCCCAGCAAGGGATGTGGGCGTCCAGGGCAAGCATCGGCAGCACTGTGCCAAATGCTCAGGCTCCCCAGTTGCAGCCACTTAGTTGAGTGTGCCAGGTGCGATCAAGAACTGGAGGGAGTGATGTGTTAGGACCTTAGATACAGATTGGAGCCTAAAGACTTGACTTCAGCTTGCATGTAGCAGTGTTGTTCTCTAAGAGAGTCTAGTGTAGGGGCCGGGTGCGGTAGCCTAGTGGCTTAAGCCCTGCCTTGCATATGCTGGAATCCCATATGGGCACTGGTTTGTATCCCAGCAAACCTGCTTCCCATCCAGCTCCCTGCTTGTGGCCTGGGAAAGCAGTTGAGGACGGCCCAAAGCCTTGGGACCCTGCACCTGCATGGGAGACCTGGAAGAGGCTCCTGGCTTCTCATTGGCTCAGCTCTGGCCATTGTGGCTGCTTGTGGAGTGAATCAATGGGTGGAAGATCTTTCTCTCTGTATATCTGACTTTGCAATAAAAATAAAATGAATGTTTTAAAAAAAGGAAAGTCTAGTGTAGGAGAGTGCAGTGTGGATGTTGCTCAGGCATCAGCGGATCCCTTCATTCAACAGTAGGTATGGGTTATTGCTGGCAATGGGCGTTTCGCAGTAGGAGGAAGCATGTGTTACAGTAGAGAGGTGGAGAAAGTAGTCAGTGAAGTAACTGAAGAACACCTGGAAGGGAGACGGTGGTCAGTGTGATG